TTCTTCTTTATTTGGGACTAGGCATTACGAAAGGCCGTTCACAAGCCCTCCAAAATAATTATACTTACTACTTGAGATGTAGTAGTTAGTTTTCTATTCCACCAGACTTGGGAAATAAATGCTTATCAGCTAGCTTAGCAAGAAAATCAAAGATGGAGATGGAAGTGGAAGTGGGAGTGGAAGTGAAACGAGGGAGGAAAGAACTTGAAGAAGAAAGAACATAGATAAAAAAGCAAGTGCACATTCCCACTCATGGCCATCTTTCGTTCCCCACTCGCTTGCCAACCGCCAACCAACCCAAGGCCGGAAGACCCTTGGGATTTCCATGGGATTTGCCCACCTAAATTCCCCTCTGACAAGCTAAACCCTCCAGCCAGACCTTTGCTGTACGTACAGAAAACTAACCTTACTTGACCTTTGACCTGTGGATGATGTTAGCTGTCTGGCTGGCTTGTCTTTGGCCTGTCTCCTCTTTTTGTGGCTGCTGCTCACCCACCTATCGATCTACCAGTACCAACTGAACATTGAACTTCCCTTCTCCTTGTGTTGTAGTAGTAGTTTTACCTTCTTCTTCTTCTTCCCTACTACTACCTGCGGCCGGCAACCTGACTTGACCGGGACGTCCTACCTACAATTACCACTACTACTACCTTACTACTTGCTTCTCGCCAGTTCCCTTCTGGTGTTCTCTTCTTAACTCATTCTTCTCCTCCTTCTCCACTTCCCGTCTTTCCTCCCGGATCCGCGTCTCCCCTCCTTCCTCCCCTTTCCCCGTCTCTCTCTGTGTCTCTCTCTCTCTCTCTGTTCCTCCCTTCCCGTGGACGCTCAACACCAGAAGGCGGTCCCGTGACTCGTTCGGGGCTCTCGCTCTCCTACCACAGCTTCCCTTTCTCCCCTTCCACCCCGCCATTCTTTCTTCCTTTCCCCCCCAAATCCCTTCCTCCCACTCCATCCACCGTTTCTTCGGTCCTGTTTGCGCAGGCGGTGTGTTTTGGCTTCGTGCCTTCCGTCCGCACTCTTTACGGCTTTGCGTCGTGCGACGACGTAGAGCTACGCTCGGTGACGATCCAGCCAGATGGCTTCTACCGTCAACTCAGTGCCGGCTGCCAACAGTGCGTCTGGCAATGCCGTGAATCCTCAGAACCCCGGTACTAGACCTTCCTTGAGATCCAGTGCTAGTACAAAGGCCTCGGAGGGCGGCCGGCGTCAATCCGGTAGTCCTCTCGAGAGCGGGCAGAGGTACGTTGCGAGGTCAACATGTTATGCCTCATCCCTCCCAGCTCCTTTCGACTCGTTTGCTTCCATTGCCCTTTCCTCACCGCTTGTCCCCTCACGAAAAAATGGCCGTTTGCTCTGTTACCATCCCCCCTCCCTCTAAACCTTGTTCAGGACGGGTCTCTTCCTGTCAATGCCCTCCGTGGCTCTCGGGTCTTCTGGACGACTATTTGGCGTCATTGTGTCTTTGCCTCTTCATCTTTCTCACCCCGTGTTCTTGTTCTACCACCAGTCTCGTGCCTGATGAAAGGGCACTATCGTTGATCTCATGCTCTTTGCTGATAGCCACGACATTGTATTGCGCATTAGCTAATCCACCTCTTTCTTGATGATAGACGCAGTAACTCCACCAAAGCTTGGTCTCACGGCGCAAACCCGATCACACAGCGGGCCTCGTACTCACAGCAGAACGGCAACATGTCTCACAAACAGTCCGCCTCTCCTCGACCGACTCCGAAAGAGTCAAACACCCCCGATAACCACGCAAATGACCGTCTCGTTTTCTTGTTTGCTAGCTTCATTGTAAGCTCAGTGTTCCAGACCCGGCATGTGTCGACGTGAAAGGCTTACGGTTCTCAGGGTTTGAATGCTACGATTACCACAAGAAATGGGGATAAGTACACGGGAATTTTTTCGTCCTCGACGTTGGAGCCTAGCGACTGTTCGTTCGTACTCAAGATGGTGCAAAGGCCCACCAAGGCGGATCAGAACAAAGCGAATGGAGTTAGTGATGTCTCAAGCCCGTATATAGGGTCAGCGCCGGATCATAGCATGTCCTTCGATGTCAAGGATGTGGTCGACATTTCGGTCCCGAACGTCACCCCGGCCGATGTTACAGCAAAGAGCGCGAACGGTAAGTCACCGGGCTAGCTTGATAACATTGATGGCCACTTTGAAATCCTAACAAAGTATCAGGGACTCCTGTAGGTTTCAAAACGGATACTGACATCTCCGGAAATCTTGCGATTCGCGAGCGGACCCTCAAGCGCTGGGAACCTGCCGCCGATACGGACGTTGACCTCTCACTCGAAAGCGCGCACAATTCAACTGGATGGGACCAATTCGAAGCAAACGCCAGGCTCTTCGGTGCTACCAGCAGTTACGATGAGAACATCTACACCACTAGAATCGATCGGTCGGACCCTACCTATAAACAGAAGGAAGCAGATGCTGCTCGAATTGCTCGTGAAATAGAAGGCGCCACTACCGACAATGCACATGTTCGTGAGGAAAGAGGGCAGGTATCGGCAGATGATCATGATGAGGAAGCTAAATACAGCGGTGTCCGCCGTGATGAGAGGAATTTCCCGCCGCTTGTTTCGGGCCAGCCAAATAAGTACACTCCACCAGCACGCAGGCAAAACGCCGCTCAATCTGCCATGGCCTCGGGAGCTCCCGCAAGCTCTCTCAAACAGGTTCCTAGTGCCCCGAAAGAGGCTGTTGCCGCCGGACCGCCCAAGGAGAATGGGCAGGCCCAGGCTCAGCCTGCACCGTCCAGTATAACAGCAAGCTCTGCTGCCGATACGGAACAAAAGCCTGCCTTGTCCAAGACCACATCTGGTGCCCCGGCTCCCGCAAATGCTACTTCGAATGTGGAGGCCGAGGTGCTCGACTCTTTCCGACAATTCGCCCACAGTGAAAAGGCGAAGTTGCAAGAACGCCGTCGTAACCAGGCTTCGTATGATCGAACCATTAAGTTGAACGAACTTATGAAGTTTTCCAAGAACTTCAAGCTGGCAACGCCAGTGCCCAAGGATTTGGTACCCATCCTAGCTAAAGACCCGCACAAGCAGGAAGAGATCATCCAAAGAGCTCAGCAGCACGCTGAGGAGAAGGTTGTGACCAAGTCCCCAGCAAGCACTGACTCGAAGCCCGCTGCTCGCCCATCTGGAAACGCTCGCCAGGAGAGTGGAACTATGCCGCCTCCTGCGCAGTCTGACCGCCAGAACTATCCTCGGGGTCGTCAAATGTTTCCCCCAACCGGTCCGCATGCTGGACCGGGTGGGCGGCTGCCGCAGCAGCCCGTGCACCAGGGCCGTCAAGCCACTGGCATGCTCGGCCATCGTCTAGCAGATAACATACAGCAGCGAAAGGGAGCCGCGATGGGAACTGTTCCCGCTCCCTTGCCTATCAATGAAGTTCGCATTCCTCCAACTGGCCCAGCTGGCGAGCAGCCTGCTGTTACTAGCCCGAATAAGGTGCAGACACCAACCTCGTCCGTCTCGACCAAGTTCAACGTGAGGGCCCTGGAGTTTAAGCCAAACCCCGCCGCAAGTACCTTTACACCCGGTGCTTCGTCCACCTCCTCTCCTTTTACCCGAGGACGCTCCGTCTCACGGACCACTAGCCCCTCGTTGTTCTTCGGGGCTAAGAAGCCAAGACCAATTTCTGAGAGGCCGTCCCTTAATGATCAGTTCAACCCCATTAAGCGCATGAAGAAGGAAAATGCGGAGTCAAATGAGAAGGGGTTCGCCTTCAATGGAGGCATCCCGCCTGCTTACCGGACTCCCCCTACTTGGGATGCCGCTCCCGGAAACGAAGAAAAGACATACCTGGAAATGTTCAAGCCGCCTGCTTCGGTGCCAGCTATCTCTCCCCAGAGCCGCTCTGCGTCCAATCCCCAGATGCCTCCGCCGCAGATGCCGTTCCAGTTCCCACAGAACACTCCCGGCATGCCTCCCACCACTGGTCCACCACACGGGCCTCATCTGCACCCTCAGCAGCATCATAATTCCGGGCCCCCACACTTTGACGATCCCCACCGCATGCAGATGTCTGCCTCGACCTCGCAAGTGTTCCCATCCCCCAGGTTACAGCACGGTTACCCGTCCCCCATGGCGCCACATGCACAGCTTGCATTTGGCCAAGCCATGCCACAGTTCTATGTCAGCCAGGCCGGCACTCAACCTGGACATATGAGACATTACCCGGGCGGTCCTCAATTCGTCAACCCCCAACCAACCATGGGCGCTCCAATGATGGTTCAACAGCCGTCTAGCGGACCATACATGGGTGTTCCTCAAGGCGTGGCCCCCTATACACCCCAGATGCAGATGTATTCCCCAAATCCTAGCCACGCGTATCCCCAACATGTGCCACCGCCCCAGCCTCACAGTGGCTATCCCAGTCCCAGTCGGGGTGCTCCCATGATGATGCACCAGAATTCTCAGCCGGGTCAGCCCCCCCAACCGGTGATGTTCATGTCCCCTGGGCAGCATGGCCAGCCCGTGTATCCGACGCAGCAGCCTACTCACAGTATGTTATAACGAAGCCAGAAGACCGTTGTGGGGTTAGGTAGCTAACTAGCATAGTGCCCCCAGTCCGCGGCAATTACCCTCAGCAGCAGCCCCATTTCCAGTCTAGTCCCCACCAAATACACCATTACCCACCCCACCAGCATCGGACACCGAGTAGCGGTTACAACCAAATGCCGCAGATGCCTCCTCAAATGCCTGCTCAACCCCCGTCTACTGTCGCATCTGGACCTCAACCGCAAGAGGCAGCAGATGAAGTGAAATGAACCATCCCCCGCTTGACAAGCGTGAGACGCCATATCGCTGGCTTAGCGACCTGACCCAAAACACCGCCGTTCCTCTTTGGAAATTCAGGCTTCACTTGGATGTGAACTCCAGTTGTTCACCGTTGGCGACTCAAATCGTCTCGCGTCGACCAACAACCTCACTATGTTTACCAAAGCTATCTGTACATTGTACGTATGCGCTGCGCTATGTGCACCGGAAGACTTATAGTGTTCCCGGTTGGCGGGTTGCGATTCCCTGCTGGTAAGCTTTCCTTAGTGCCCTCGATGGGTCGGTACGTGCTAACAAAAGCCAGGCGAGGTGGCAGCTTCGTGTGAAGTATTGCAGTCAGATCAGGTGTGTATAGGAGTATAGCCATGGGCTATAAGTTGAGAGACCTCTGGGGATTGGTGTGTCGGCAAATAGTTCGGCATCCGATGGCCTTGTTGCCATCCTATGCAGGCCTATACTATACGGCTTCTTGGAAGTGATTTACGGAAGCCAACGAAGGGATTCCACTACGATAACTTTCCAAGTTACTGGGGTACTCATTGCTATATGCCAATGATGTTCTGGGATTTATCTTTTTTTCTTTTTCTTTTTTCCTTTCTTCGTCTTGCATGTCTTTTGCGTTGCCATCTCTACCCATGGGGAATCGAACCGGAGGAAGAGGGGAGTTCTGATGGACAGCGACGGGTGGAAGAGGCCATAGCGAGTGGTATAGGAGACACGTTGCACAGTACGGGGGTGAGTTGTCGGGATGACATTGAGATGATATGAGGGGAAGTGTTCTAGGGCGACTTGTTTTACGCATTTTGACGGGGATGAATGACATCAATATAATCGAGCTTGATGCCTCTTGTAGACAGGACTCAGTAACGTAGCAATTACGCAGGAGCTGCCAGTCAGCACGACGGAAGTAAATAGTTGCAGGGCCTAACTAGGATAACAAAATTCCAACAACAAGCATGAAGTAGTGAAAGAGCATTCTCCTCAGGTCTTTTCAGTTTCTTATTTGGTCATCATCCAACCAAGAAAGACGCCGCCACCGCGGTACTCTACCCTTCAACCCAAAGCCCAACCACCAGCCAAAACACCCAGATTCCACCACCCCCGAGCCCATCACAAAACCACAGTTTGATCCCTGCTTCACCCTACCCATCCCCCCCATCCCGCAAATCTCCCATTCGGCAGTTAACTCAAAGAAAAAAGAATGTACGCCGCAGCCATTAGTTTCTGAAATTCCTCATGGAGAAAAGCGGACCAGAAACCCCAAATTGCGGCTTGGAAAACAAAAGAAAGTGAATGTTTCGTTGTACACATGTGTCTCCAAGGTAAAAAAAAAGCAACGTCGTGAGCCTCTCGACCAGAACCTTTATGCCTTTAACAAGAACTTGTGCCTGCCTTTGTTGAATGAAGAGAAGAGCGAGGATGAAAAGTAATGGAATTGGGTAGCTGCGAGGAGATGTCCCCATGATGTTTGCGATGGGAGGGTATTCGGGGAAAAGGGATTCTTTTTGTTGGATTGCTCGTGCTGGGAGTGTTGGTTGGGTTGGAAGGTGAGCACACAGCGGGGGAGTTGAAACGACGCTTTCGTATGGGTTTCGCGGTCTGACCTTTTACCAGGTGATCATCATTGGAGAATGGGTTGTCTCTTGTGGTTTGAGGAGGGAGGGAGGTGAGGGATTGGGGGGAAGGATTGTCTGTGACTAGAAGTGAATCGGGTCTGGGACGGGGGGAGGAGTCAAGTAGGAAGTTATGGGACGTGCCTTGTGTTAGCTCAGCTCGATGTGAAGGGTTAGTTGGAGGTGAGTATTGGTTGTTGATGGTAAGAGCGAAGAGAGCATCATTGTGTTATTAGTGTCGTTGCTGCTATCATTCAGCAGACGCGTCTGTCGTGGGAGATAGATATAGAAACAGGAGAGCGTGTGTGTATGTGTTAAAGCTAAAGAGAAAGAAAGTCAAGCTCCGGCGATAAAATGGGGAGCTTTCCCACAAAAAGCCCCTAAACCCGATTGGGGGCGGGGTACCACGGGCAGCGCCAAAGGGGACAAATCCGTTGTATTATTCCCATGTCCCCGATCTCTCTCTCCCTGTTGAACTTGGGGGCCGTTGAATCTCTTTCGTTCTGTCTTGGACTAGAGATCGGTCGCATACGTGTCGTTTCTCTAAAGCTTTCTTTCTTTCTTTCTTTTATACGCTTATATACCCTCCCCTTCTTCCTCTCTCCCCGCCGAAGACGTTCCTCCACTATCGCCGCTGCGGTGGTAGTTATCTTTAAAGACCAGCTAGTAGTTAATTTAGCTGCCCCCTCCGCGAGAACACCCACAACTGTCCGCACCGCCCACACCAGCCATGGATTTTCTCAAATCTGCCGTCGCATCGGCGATCGCAAAGGGTAGTTCATTTCCTTACTCGCTCGGAGACAGAGTCGATCTCTCCGACTCGATCTGGACGCTACACAATGCTACGAAACGGGTATGAGATGTCATGCGGGCCCGCGGAATCAAAACCCCCCATGGGGCTAATGCGATTGCTGATCGGCGCTTGGTACGTATAGGAAGACGGTTCGCCCTGCAGCGTCTTTACCTTCGATATTGCTTCCAATAAGTCCCGTCTACCGTTGGCGAAGAATGCGGTGCGCAAGTCCCGGACGCTGAGACATCCCGGGGTGATTAAGGTCTTGGATACGATAGAGGTAATTGGACACACGATAGTTCGTGTATCATGTTTTATGGATGGAACGGCTGACGGATTATAGACGGAAGCTAGCCTTTATATTGTCACCGAGCGAGTCGTGCCCCTTTCGTGGCATGTTAAGCGGAGGAGTCTGAGCGAGGAGACGTCCAAATGGGGGTTGTATACTGTGGCGGTATGTTCGGGTTATGGTGGTTGTGGTTGCGATTGTGATTGTTCTGACGTATGCGGTTCTACAGTCTACGCTCAAGTTCATCAACGGAGACGCGGCCTCTGTTCATGGTGTTGTCAGGGCCTCATCGGTATTCACAAGCGAGAGTGGGGAATGGAAGCTGGGCGGTTTCGATATTCTGAGTTCAATGAACGATGAGAATGCGGTCATTTATGTCGGTTTATCGTCGATTACATTACGGAAATGCGGTTACTGACAGCGCCTTGCAGACATACGGTAGTCTCGTTCCTGACGCGGCTCGATTCACACCTCCGGAGGTCGTCAAGAGCGGATGGGACACGATCAAACGGAACCCGCTGACTGCGATTGATTCTTACGGGCTTGGAATACTAGTTTACGAGGTCTACAATGGCAACTTCACTGGCGGGGACCAGGTGGGCAAGACGACGAACATCCCGCCCAGTATGCATCAGAGCTATAAACGCCTGTGCACGGCAAATCCCAAACTGCGCCTGAGCCCTGCCCACTTTGTTGAGCAGGGGAAGAAGAGCGGCGGCTTCTTCGAAACCCCACTTATCCGGTTGACGGACGATATTGAGAGTTTAGGGCTCAAGAACGATGCGGAGCGAGAGGAGTTTGTCAAGTGAGTCAATGTCTCGTTAGAAACAGGCTGCAACTAGTGGATGCTGACTGGAGTAGTGAGCTTGATGAGCTGTCCGACGACTTCCCTGAGGAGTTTTTCAAGATGAAGGTGCTTCCAGAATTGCTAAAGTCGGTTGAGTTTGGCGGAGGCGGCCCCAAGGTACTGGGGGCTATTCTGAAGATCGGGGCGAAGTTATCCCAGGAAGAGTTCAACTCGAGACTTACGCCAGTCGTTGTCCGACTCTTTGGAAACCCGGATCGAGCGCTGCGGGTCTGCTTGCTCGATAACCTCCCGGTGATGATCGACAACCTACCTCAAAAGATCGTCAATGACAAGATCTTCCCTCAGATTGTTAGTATCAACAATCCCCGGCAGGGCTCGATGCTAATTTCATGTGCTATAGACCTCCGGCTTCACCGACGCCGCCCCCGTCGTCCGAGAGCAGACGGTCAAGGCTGTTTTGCCAATTATCAACAAGCTCAGCGACCGTGTCATCAACGGTGATCTGCTCAAGTTCCTCGCCCGTACTGCCAACGATGAGCAGCCGGGAATTCGTACAAATACCACTATCTGCTTGGGCAAGATAGCGAAGAACCTCGGACAGGGCGTGAGTGGCTCTTCCCAGAAAGCATCATACGCAACGCTGACCCGTTACAGTCGAGGTCCAAGGTCCTTATTGCGGCCTTCACCAGGTCTCTTCGGGATCCCTTCGTCCACGCCCGGAGCGCTGGTCTGCTCGCTCTCGGAGCGACGCTGGAGTTCTTCACCGAGGAAGACTGCGCGACAAAAGTGCTTCCGGCTATCTGCCCTTCCCTTCTGGATAAGGAAAAGTAAGAACATTCACTTTCTCTCATGGCTCGGGTCTAATGCTTCATATAGGATGGTCAGAGACCAGGCGAATAAGACACTCGACTTGTATCTCCAGCGTATCCGGAAGTACGGCAGCACAATGGCAGACACGGTAATTCCTCCGGCAGCCAGTGCAGATCCGACAAAGGATACAGCCCGTATCGGCACATCTAACGACAAGTCATGGGCTGGATGGGCGATTTCCTCGTTCACCAATAAGCTCACGGCGGCCAATGGCGAAATCGAACCCACCGCCAACGGTGTTAAACCGGTCGAGCCTGAACCGGCTCGTCCAGCTTCTGTTCCCCGCCCAACGAGGGCGTCATCATCGGTGCAGAAAGAGACACTACGGCCTGCAACTCAGACTCTGAATCGGTCCATGTCAGAGCAACCACCAACTTTGGCTAAAGAAGAGGATGATGCAGGAGATGTCTACGACGCGTGGGGTGCAATGGACGATGATGAAGACGAGCAGCAAGTAGAGGAGGACCCCTTCAGTGCGACAGCAACTAGCAGTCCAACAGTTTCTGCTCCTGCACCTGCCCCTGCACCTAAAGCAGCCCCCGTTCCGTACGATGATGGCGGCGAGCCGGACTTTGCGGGTTGGCTGGCCGCCCAGTCCAAGTCAAAGAAGCCATTGCCAAAGGGATTGAATAAATCCAGTCCCACCTCGGTATCACGGCCATCTAGCCGCAGTAGCACGGCTAAGCCCAGGACCGTTGTCGCACCAGCAAAAAAGATTGACACGACACCTAAAGACACTGAGGAGGACGACGGTTGGGGAGACGCTTGGGATTAGCAGTATAGATCCTTAATACCCGCATCTTTCTGTTCATCAGGGTACATATTCCCTTGCACTATACCGTGATTATATTTCTCATCTTGCGACATATCCAAGGCATCAAGGCAGGGGAGTTTGGGCGCCATGCAGTATATAGTCTGGTTAATTGCTTGTTTTGTTGCTGCTGCATATGAGTTGCGATAGGATAGAATCAATCATTGCAGACATGGTCACATACAATTTGATTGACATTTTATAAATCTGGGGCAGTCCACTAGAAGTAAACATGAAACGCCGGGTAGCGGTAGGGGGGGAGCACCGTTGAACAAATCGATAGTTGAGTGGAGGAGAGAGTAATATTACTAGTCAGTCTGGCTTGAAGATCGACTCGATAAGGCGGAGGGGTGGCGCCAATCAAGCGCCGGCTGCCCCGTGATCACATCCGCCGCTGATCCTCCGCCGCCCGAGACACTTCCAAGTCATCTTGTCTCTCCCTCCACCTGCCGGCCATCCCGTTCTCTGGCCTTTTGAATTTCCGATCGTCTTACTCAAGAGTAGGACTCAACTCTCCTACGTCTGCCGTGCGGTTCGCTCGCTCGCCCCTGCAGTGCCAGGGCTGATTATCGTACTCAGAATCTAGATAATCCTGCTGCCTTCCAGCGTCTCCGTACCTGAGTGTGTCCGGGAAGGCTGGTGGGTGTTGCATATCTTCCCATGCGCGATGGATGACGGGTTACGAACCTGAAGGTCAACTCGGTCCGTGATTTTGATTTCACACTTTTACAACAATATCTGTCCTTGCTACAATGGAATCCGACGAAGCTCCTCCTCCGCCATACTCTGCGGTCGACCCGTTACTCGCACAAGCAAACAGCCGAAATGCCGCTGCAACTGCGGAAGTGAATCGTGTCCTGCTACGTCTGCGTGGGGGGGAGACAACCCTAGGCACCTCGCCCTCAAGTCCTGCGTCCAGCTCCGCCAGTCATGATTTTCCAGCATCCTCCGCCAGCTTGCCTACCCACTTTACATCTGCTGCGGAGTACTTCGTGGAGCGACCGCCTCCGACTTCAAGCCGTCAGGGGGACATTGTGGAACATTGTGTAACGATCTTTCCGCGCAGCCAATCGAAGGATATCCGGCGTCGACCTCGTTGTTGGACCGCGCAGAAGACGGAAGACATCACCCAGCAGGACTGGGACGTTTTCCTGAGATACTTGTTTCCACCGCATTTGGGTCTAGCGTCTACTTCGGCACAACTGCCCCGTCAAGTGAGAGCAGAGATTCAGCGTGATCGTAAGGATCGGCCCCAGGAGACGGATGAAGAACGCAAGAGACGGATTGCTGCCGTGATAATGGAGTGGAACCAATATTTCTTCGAACCCCGCTCGGCTCGTGTCGTATATGTCTACGTGATGGACCCTCAGAGTGCGCCGCGATCATCTTTGTGTCCTAAGTGTTGGCCGGCTGCTACAACGCGAGAGAATCGAGTCGCCCAGGCGTCCGACGCTGGTCGAGGTCGCTTGCAACAGTCGCCTGTGACACCAACAGCTGCTGAGCAGCCTGGTGCGCCTCCAGTCAGTGCTGTTTATACACCAGGGCCATATGCCTACCCACAATATCCTACCCCTCCTACACCTTACGCGCCTTATGGGCATCCTGCGCCATACAGCCCTGCTGTGTATCCGCCTCATCCTGCATACCATTACCCTCCTCCACCTCCACCGCCGCCGCCGCCCGGTCACTACCCTCCTCAGCCTCCATGGGGCTGGACTGCTCCCCCTTATGGGGTTCCTTACCAGGATCCAAGCATGTCAAAGGGAGGAGGACCCTTAGATTGGATAGCGTCGTTGGCCTCGCAGGCCCAGAAGTATGGAGAGCGCTTTACTGAGCAAGCACAACATTATGGAAGGCAGGTGGAGGAACAGGCTCTTGCTCACAGTCGCTGGATCGAGGAGCAGGCCGGACTTCAGGGACGAAAGGTGGAGGATGCCTTCACAGGCTTTGTCAGTCCTTCTCGTGATGATTGGATCGCGAACCAACCCCCTAAGCCAGGGTACGTACAGAATAGCACTACGCATACACCTACGGCCACGACTACGGCTACGGCTACGGCTACGACAGCTGCGCCTCAACGCGCTACTCCAGCTCAACCTGAACGGACTCGCCGGGCTTCAATCGACTCGGAGGCATCCGACTTGTCTTTCTCTTCGATTGATTCCTTGTCAACAACGTCCGAGCTCAGCGCCTCTGATCTGGCCACTGTCCGCGCGCAGCTTTTGTCACTGAACGACCATCACGACCGGGAGTTGTACGAAGCCGCCGTGGGTCTGCGGCGTCAGCTTGACGTTCTTCAGCAGTCGCGACGCCAGAACCGTACATCTGGACGAAGCGGCTGGCGTCACGGCTGGAGGCGATGGGACTCGCCAAGCGAGCAGCACCAGAAGCAGTCAGATAAGCGAGCGGTCAAAGAAGAGACTCGGGCCACGCGGAAAGCATTTCGAGATGTATTGCGTCGAGCGCGAGAAGAGCAACGCGAGAAGCGGCGGCTCAAACGCACCCGCCGGCGTCAGGAGCAGCGAGCGCGTGAGGTGCAGAGGGATGGTGCTGAGATGCCACTCGAGCAGCACATGCAGCGATTGGAGCTTGACACTAATCGGGAGAGCCGCTCAACTGTACAGTCTTTCACCTCCATTCCATCCCCGGCGCGGTCCCTGGCCGAATCGGATAGTGAAATCAGTTCTATCAGCACACCGAGCACATCAAGTAACGAAAAGATGCCGGTCAAGGGGAAGAGTGAGAAGTCGGCAATCGAAAGGAAGCCGTGCAAAGAAGCAGAGAAGTCATATGAGAAAGACAAGAAGGGCACCGATCAATATAATCGGGGAGCGTCACGGCGCAATTAGTGGGCCATGGCCAGGACATTATCATTTGAATTACTTTATGGGACGATGCATGATCATAGCGGTGTTTATATTCATGGAAGAGACTGGACTTGGGATTCTCTTATGTATTTATTACTTTCTTTATCATACCGGCGTCAACCCGGGGTACAGTGTGGTCATTAGCATGCATTTTCAACATGAATCTAGAACCATGCACCAACATACCAATACCAATACCGATCAAGATCTACCAAAAACCGTCGTATAACATCTATTTTATACAAGAAAGACAACCCCACTCTTTTCCCCCGAACCTAGAACCTTTTTGTCAAAGAGAATAAAAGAGAGGACTACTAAGAAGAAGAAGCCTGCGCCTCATTCTTCTCAACCAAATCCCCAACTCCCAACCCACGCCCAACCTTCACCTTAACCATCTTCTCAGTACTTTCCTTCTCCTCCTTCTTCCCCAACTCACCCACCTCATCACCCTCATCCGCATCCTTCTCATCTTTCTCCGCCCGCTCGCGATCCTTCCGCTCAATCTCCGCCCAATTGATAAACATGCCCGACAGATCCATGCGCATCGCATACGCATCCTCCCCATCCGCATAGTACTTGCTCTCCACACTATCGACCTGGAATCCGAGGGTATCGCGGTAAAGGTGCAGCGCGGCTTTGTTGGATACGCGCACGTGCAGAGACACGTATTGTGCGCGGTGGCATTCGGCCATTGCGCGTTCTATCAACACCATCCCCAGAATGATTAGCATGCGTTTTTTTTTTCCCACAAACATTCACAAACAACCAAAACGAAATAGAATAAAAGCAGGTGGGGAAAGGGGGGGGGATAAACGTACGAGACATCCTCATCAACCTCTCCGCAATCCCCAAACGTCTATGCGTCCTCATCACAGAAATACTCGTGATATGTCCATGCGGCACCCCATCCGTCGGCTCCTCCTCCATCTTCGCCAACACGTACCCCACTACCTTGGGGTATTGTTCTGCGGCGCTGCCGGCTCCTTGTCCTCCATTCTCCGTGGTGGTGGTATACTTGCTGTAGCCGTTCTTGGGCCGCACCACGGCCACGAAGGATAGTTGGGGCCAGGTCAGTGCATGGTACAAATAGTATTTTAGAAAGTAGTTCTCGGGGAGGTTCGTGATGTTGCAGGTTTGGATCGAGGGTAGGAGGTCGATGTAGGAGGGGTAGCTGCTGAGGGGGAGGATGTCGACCATTTTGGTTGGATTGGGTATATCCCGGAGGAGGGGGGATTGGTTGGTATCGGAGGTGGGATTTGGTGTGGGGGGTTGAGGTTCAGGGTTGTGAATTGGCCCCCGGGTGTGGATTGAGTAGCTTGTTGTAGTAGTAGTCTACTGTGTAAAGTGTGGTGATGATATTGAGTGCGGAGTTGGTTTGGTGGTGGTGGTGGTCAGCTGAGTGGGCGCTAGCTGGTTTGGGTTAGGGGCATCGGAGTTACTACTTTGTCGACGGAGTATATTGGGAGCTATTGATGCAGCTACATAGGGCTAAAGAAACCTGTTCATGAATTTAGTTTAACCACTAGGTTCAATTCTAACTGTACAGTCGTGAGTCATAATATAAGTGTATCCATCAACTCCAAACTCCCACTATATACGCTCGGAGCAACACTAAAATATCGATGCCATATACTGCACTCCCGCAATCAGAAGCAGCGTACTCATCACACTCACCCCAGGCATCACGCTCGTCGCTGCAGATGCTGCGCCGCAGCATTTCCCATCCCAGGTTACGTTGTTCATCTCGGCGGCCACCGCGAACACGGACCCGTTGAAGTTGCCGTAATTGTAGTAATCCACCAGAAGGAAGTTAGGCGGCCGGTCCCACATAGCTATGAGGTAAAGAGGTTAGCATGTTACACAGACCACAGTCAGCTGTTACTTACCCGTGCAGTTGCGTGCCATCTTTCCGAGACTACCGTAGCCGGAGACCGCGTTGGTCTGGTTGAGTGAGGCAGTGTTGGGGATCAGCAGACTGATGCTGGCAATGTTGATGTCGAGGTTCAGGTTGTGGTTAGCCATGTACATCCGGTCTTTGGCGTCCTGCGTGGACAGGTCCGGCGGCCGCTGCTCTGTGCAAGGGAAGGCTGCGTCCGTGGGCGAAAACGGCGTCTCCCACATCTGCGAAAACTCATCCATGAGCCACGGGTAGGCCGTCTGATTGGCCTGGTAGTCCATGAAGACAACGGCTCGCTTGCCAGACAGAATCATACTGGACATCGTAGGCCAATCATCTAGCGCCATTGGGATCTTTGAGGGTGTAAACACATAGTCCATGAGACCAGAGTTCTGGATAGGACCTGTGAAGTTGCCGGGGTCTACATAGTCATAATTGCCTATCATGATGGTGACCACGTCATATGGATGGGTTTTGACCCATTTCGTGACAGTTGTCAGGTAGTCTTCCAATGGTCCCATGTTCAAAAGATCGCAGCTGGTGTGACAGAGGTAGAGGGTGTTGTTGACCAGGTGTGTTTGGAATTGCACTGTCCAGGGTGTCAGCAAAATACCATCCATGGGCTAAGCTTTGTCGATCGGACAACTTACGCATCCGTATGCCATCATCCAGCTGAGCGGTAACGTCCAACGCCTGGTTGGCTGCCGCATTGCCTGGCTTGACAAACGGGCTGTTGTGGGCAGCAACCATGGTGATGTTGGAGTACTTTCGCGCGCAAAACTCCGCGTGGCCATTGCAAGGCTGTGTGTTGACGACTGGGGTCGACGATGCAGTGGACGTCGCTGTTGTAGTAGCGTTGGTGCCATTGACTCCGCCAGTCTGGCCGCCCACCAGCAATGTGAGAGATTGAGACGAGGAAGTCACCGTCGTGGTGAAATTCCCGGATGCTGTTGTAGAGTTGGAGGTGGTTGTCGCGGAGTGCGCCCCGGTGCTCGTGACGGTATGTCCATTGTCGAGGGTCATAGTCGTAGTGTAGGAGAGGTAGTGACCTGTGGGCAGCGTCGCTTCACTGATGGACGAAGTGACGGTCCCCTCGAGAGTCAGGCCGCCATTGTTGCCGGTCGTCGTCGTCGTGGTGCTATCATCTTGTGCCAGAGAAGGCCAAACGCCCACTGCCAGGAGCGGCAGTAGGTGAGCGATCAACCGCATGACAAGAGGTGGTCTGGAGTCAAGAGGCCGGTCTGTGGAGGCTCGGAGGTTTTGGATATATATACAGCGGTGAATCTGTCCGAAGAGGACCACACGATGCGATCAGATGCACCAGATGGAGCACCAGATGGATCAGGACCCTGAAGAAGCAGAATAATCACCGGGCGCGGAATGATGTCTTACGATGAAGTCAACCATGGATGCTGGGCTGGTAAGGTATTTTTAGGTAGGTATGGTTGGTAACAGGTATTGTTACCACGCAGGGTTTCCCGCCTTCAGGGTACTGGCTTACTTTAGGGGGGCCGATCCCGGCAGCCATTGGTTGCCACCCCCCTGACTGTCCGCCCCGCTGTCCCGGAGAGGAAAGCTCCAAGCTGGCCAGCAGCCGATCTTAGCCTGGCTTTCACTGGCAGATCGCCCGCATGGAAAATCCTCCCAGTCCTTCCGGCCAATTATATTATCTGCTCAGCCCAGGCAGCCAGAATTGAAAAAGACACCAAGAGTGGGGCCCACCTGTCGATGACGTTGTTTGAGCCAGTCTTGGCCAAACAGTTACTGACAGAACAGATAGATTTGTTGCCGAAACGCCAGAATAGGCAGTGACTTTTAATTCCAGGCCCTATGAGGGTCGCTGCTAGTCTTTCTTGGCGAGTGGCTCCTGAATGTCGTGAGGATTGCCAGATCAGCCACGATCCCCACTGCATTGGGTAATCGGGAAAAACCATCAGCGGCTAACTCATGCCAATCATCACTGTATTCCAGCCCATCACCAGCCACGAACTGGGGTGGTTTTGGTGCTGGTCAACGGCGTCCGCGCAGTAAGAGCCCCTCGATCAACGGGGGGTTATTGCTGCACTTACTTCAGATTACTTCAGAGCAAGGATAAAATCTGCTCATGATCGGCCTTCTCCACTGTCTCGTCCACAGTCAGACTGCCGCCCAGGAGGGAAAAAGAGGCAGGGCAAGGAAAGTTCCTGCCACCATCGCAAAAATGTTCCCATCAGGGTCTAGACCAGCGCCGCTGCTAAGAATACCTGCTGCGGCCCTGAGACTGAGACTTTCTCCCTGAGTAAGATTATTGAAGCCGCCAGCGTTACGGCTCGTGTGAAATTCTCATTGTTGTTTTTATTATTATTGTTGTGATTATTGTTTTGATTTTATTTTCTACTCCCCATTTATTTTATTCCATATTTTCTCATTCTGGTTGGCTGCCAAGGCGTCTAACTTTTTTCAACCTTAAAGCCCAATTCAATTCCACGGCAGATCAGATCAGTTCGGTAATATTCAGTCATCCATCTGTGTACTGTGTATACGTCGCTCTCGCCATCCACTTTGCTTTCCCTTTCCCTAATCTTTTTCCCCCATTCCCGCCATCTCTTCCTGTTCCTCGCTCCCCTTTTTTTTCTTCCTTCCCACTCTCTGGTTCTCTTCTCCTGGATGTATCCCCAGCTTCCTCTCCTGATCCCGTCAACCTAATCCCGTGGTTGCCGGTGTTTCCCTCCCCGCTGGTCCCTTCTCTATCTCTCTCCCCATCGAATCCTGGCACGTGGTTCACGGGGGGGCGTAAACGTCATCCAGTCGATGTCTTCCCAGATCTCTTCTATACTACGTATTAGAATTTAACTAGACGCCCTGCTCTTGATCTGGGTCTCTTTCTACATCATTTCCATCCATCTTCTCCTCTATCCTCTTCGTCTATTCTCCGACTCTATTATCCGCAATTTCCGGACCTGCCCTCTCCACCACCACGTGCTTGACAGCGGTCCATGGCAAAGCTGCCCCTGTTCAGGAAAGCTCCTGCACGTCCGCAGGTCGGCCGGAGCAGATCGAAGGTGCTCTGGCATCGTATCCTTCGTTCCTTCTGCTATCTCATCGCTTGGATCTTCCTGATCTTGGTCTGCATTGGCAATGTCGCCGATAAGCCCGTTCTCCGACAGACCTACTTCCTCGAGATCAACCTGGCGAATATCATCCCATTGTCCACCCCCAATGCGGTCCTGATCGATACAATTGCTCGCACCATCGGTCTGCACGACTTTTACCAAGTGGGACTATGGAATTTTTGCGAAGGTTATCAGGACCAGGGCATCACCCACTGCTCTTCGCCCAAACCCCTCTACTGGTTCAATCCTGTCGAGATCATCCTCAGTGAACTGCTATCCGGCGCAACGAGTACGCTCCTCCTTCTAACATGAAAAACGTTCCCTTTACTCACAAACCTGCAGTTGCTCTTCCTGCCAACATCACGTCGGCTCTGCACATCGCCCGCATAGCCTCTCACTGGATGTTTGGTCTCTTTATCACCGCTACCGTCTTAACCTTCATCCTCATCTTTCTATCTCCACTTGCCGTCTCCTCACGGCCTCCTCAAGCTCTTTCTGCCGACCCAGTCGTCAATCAAACCCACCCGCAACATCGCCGTCGTACTTTTGTGTTCCTCCGTTCTCTTCCATTCCTCATTCTAACCTTCTTGACCGCTCTCTTCACCGTTGTTGCCTCCGTCGTCGCAACCGTCATGTTCATCATCTTCCGCAACGTCTTCACCTCCGCCAGCGAAGACCTCAACATCGACGCCTGGATCGGCACGCGCATGATGGCTTTCATGTGGGTCGCCTCCGCCTTCAACCTGATTGCCTTTATCCTCCAGCTTGGCTCCTGCTGCGCCTCTTGCTGTGGCGGCCGCAAAACCCGCAAGCAGCTCAAGCAGAATAATGCCGGCACTGCGAGCCCTAGCAGCACAGCTTCCCCTGATGTGCGTGAGAAAGAGCATCCACACAGCCCCGCAACTACGGAGTGAGCTGTTGTCTCCCTATTCCAGACCACATAAGCTCTCGCAGATTGTGGTCCCTTTTCCTCCTCTCATCCAATACCCCGAGATTCATACCCCGAATGAGGAAAATCGCCTGTACGACGATGATAAATAGAACATAAAGGTGTGAGCATCGCAGGGGCCCGCCAATATATACTGATCTGGATATGTATACTGTACCTCTTTCTTATTTGGTTTCCCGTTCTGGTTCGGGTTATGCTGTATAGACGCGATGGATATAGACTGGGGCATATTCAACTTAGACGGAATTCGGTTTTGGGTCTGAGTTGAGCTTGTGGTTGCCTCGCTTCCTTTTGATACATTGGGAGGGCACTGCACATGTCATCCAGCTTGCATAGGTTACGATATTTACGACTCTGTTATGATATTACGAGTGTTCGTATGCTAAGAATTTCAATCCAAAGAAGAGGAGTATATATCTCAGATGAGAGTTCTAATTGACCCAGGTAATATATAATTAACAATCATATTGACCCTTTTAAGGATCCCTCTAGAGTATTCAAAATTCATGGGGCATCTCATCTCACTGCACCCAATGTAGCGGCTGGGTGCCTTCTTGAGCCTACTTAGTACTTCGTTGCTCACCCTAGCAAAGATTGGTAGGCCCAACTTGCTACAATAGTACACTCTTATGCGTGGGGACTTCTTGGCTCTAAAAAGTACACAGGCAACACTAGGAAAACATTCGCACAGTGCTCTGCATCCACCTACCGTAGATCTCATATCATACATATATCTGATCTATCTATAATTAAGTTTCAAATTCTAAATCTTGCCTCCTGGAGAAGATATCACAATTAGCGTGACAATTTATCTACTGATATCAATTATGAGAATACTGCTCATTCCTTGCTTGAACAATATACTATTATGGGGCAAATACTGGTCCACTGCCTTGACAGTCGCCGAGAGATTAATGTAAGTAGGGAACGGTGATAGATGACTGGAAACAATTACAACCATGAAACCGATCATACAATAAACTCATGCATATACGGATATCGAACCAGGATTACTCGCTAACATCCAATGACGCAACACAGGGAATCAAGCAAAAACCTGAACTCCAATGCAGAAGGCGATTCGCCTTCGTGCCTCCAGCCCCAAACCAGGCACCATGCTGACCATTAGCCCTGAACCATACAAGACAATTGAAAGAGAAGAAAGGTTAAAAGACGCATACATCTGCCTCTAGGCAGCTTCTTAATGTAAGACACAACTCTCAACGCGGCTCGGAATAATCGTTCAGCGCTACGCATACCGCCCCGCGGTGATGACCACTGTATTGACGGATGATCTGACCCGAAGCCAGCTCCCATAGACGGGCGTAGTGGTCGCTGGATACTGTGACGAGATACGCAGAGTCAGCGGAGAAAGCGCAATCCCAGACCCACCGTTGGTGATTTGCAAGCGTGGTCTCTAGGAAAAGTGTTCCTGTCGCGGAGTCCATGGGGGGTCCGTCCGGTTGTACAGGGAAGGACTGCTGGGGTTCGTTGTTTATAGGTGTCGCTGCTTGGAAGAGACTGAATGGGTTGGCTTCAAAGTCGGTGCCGTTGGGAGATGCGTTGTTCACGTGTTGCGTAGATTCAGGGGAAGAAGGGCTGTCATTCGATTCAGGTGAAGAGATGGCTCTGGCCTTGGCCTTGGCGGCATTGGCGGCAGCAATCTTGGCCGGCGGATAATCAAGGTCAAGGTTCCATACTTTGGCTGTGTGGTCTGCGGAGCACGTTGCGAGATGCTTGACATCAGGGGAGAGAAGAACGCGAGTAAGGTAGTCCTTGTGCGCCTGGAAGGTACATATCGGAACAATGCGTGTTATCTCGGCGTCTTGGATCATGCGCCAGATGTAGACATTACCCTATAGGCCGGTCGCCCAAGGTCAGTGATGAAGACAAGCGGCCAGTAATTGTCTTTTTTACCTTCTTATTTCCAGCGCAAAGCAGGGACCCATCACTTGCGACACTAACACTATGAACAGCAACGTCGTCCTCAGGAATCAGCTGGTGGGTGCAGACGCTTTCACCCAGGTCCCAAACCCGAACGATACCAGCGCGATCCCCACTAATGAGCTCGCCCTGGTTAGGGTGGATTACAACGTCGTTGACTGGAGCTTTATGCGCGTAATTACGCTGCAGGCTGCCTGTACGGGTATCCCAGACTTTAACTGTACCATCTTCCGAGCTGGTGACCATCCACTTCCCCTCGCAGTGAAACGCGACGCCAGTGATGTTGTTTGTATGGCCGTCGAAGGTCATGACCGGATTGGGATTGGTAGATTTGATGTCATACAGCTTGACATTATTGTGGCCGGCGGCTGCCAAGTACCGTTTGTCGGGGGTGATGCATAAGCGATTAACTTGGGAATCGGGATGCTGTATAGTGCGCGAGCAAATCCC